TATGTAACAATTTTATGTACACGTTGAAAAGTTTTTAATACATGATTAAAATTTTTAATTGAGACACTAGACATTTTTTATAAAAGTTAGTAAAATTGAAAAAATGTTTCCAAATATAAAAATAGAGAAATAAACCAAATATAAAATTTTGAAAAAAATAAAGAGGTTTTTTAAGTCAAGTTGGTTTCCTATTTAAAATTAACGAATTAAAAATACAAGTGGAACAAAATAGCACAAAAAGAGCAAAAAACAATTAACAAATCATGCGCATCAGCTAGCTGTGCGCGAATGGGCCGCTCCACCCCGCCGCGGGCGATCGCGCGCGATACGTACGTAGTACAGTAAGCGATACATATACTCTTCAAAAAAAGAGAGTTGTTAAGCATGAACCCAGCAATGATGTCATGGAAATCGGCATCGGTTGTTAAGCATGTGCTCAGCCCAAAATCTGATCATTGTATGCTAGCTGTAAATTTGAAAAGGGTGGCAGAGACAACAGAAGGACATAAGCGCAGGTTCATGTATGAGGAAGCTTGGCAGAAGGACGAAACGTATGATGCCGCCGTTCTGCAAGGTTGGCGCCCGGGTGCAGGTTTGCAGGGTCTTCACGGCATTGAGGAGGCTCTTTCTACCATGCAAACCCAGCTTTCAAGTTGAAAGACGAAGAAGTTTGGAGATATTAGAAGGAAGATAAAGAAAATACGTAAAGAGTATGAAACTGAAAGGTCGAATTCGCTTTTCAGGGGACCGACCAAGAGGGAAAAGGATCTATGCCGCCAGCTCTCTGATCTACTTCACAAGGAAGAAATCATGGCCCGCCAAAGATCGAGAGTGGACTGGCTAAAAGCGGGGGATTGTAACACGGGGTTTTTCCAAGCTCGTGCCTCTGCCCGCAAGAGTAGGAATCGCATACGCAGTCTGCAAGCTGCGGATGGCTCAGTATGCGAGACCAAGGAGGACATACATGCTGAGGTACAGCAGTTCTACACTGGTTTGTACACGGCGCAGGAACATACGGATGTTCAAGCAGTTCTTCACCACGTGCCACATAAGATTACAGTACCTATGAACGAACGGTTGTTGCGGGCGTTCAAGGAGGAAGAAGTGAAGGCTGCAGTTTTTGCTATGGGGCCTTCAAAGGCGCCCGGGTGTGATGGTTTTCACGCTGCTTTCTACCAGAAACATTGGGAGCTTATAGGGCCTGATGTTACTACGACTGTCCTAAGTTTTTTGAACGGAGGACCAATGCCAGACACTGTGAACAACACGATTATTGTTCTTATACCAAAGGTGAGAAACCTGCAAAATATCACTCAGTATAGACCAATTTCTTTGTGCAATGTTCTCTACAAAATATGCTCGAAGGTACTTGTTAACCGGCTGAAAGAGATCCTTGATGAGATTATTGCAGAGGAGCAAAGTGCTTTCGTTCAAGGACGATTGATTACTGACAACATCCTAGTGGCTTATGAATGTATACATTCAATGAAAAGGAAGCGAGGGAAACAAGGATGTTGTGCGGTCAAGATCGATATGATCAAAGCGTATGACCGAGTGGAATGGGTGTACCTGGAAGGGATAATGCACCAACTGGGTTTTCATGAACGCTGGATTTCTCTTATTATGAGATGTGTGAACACCGTAAACTACCGAGTGAAGGTCAACGGTGAGTTGTTACCAGCCTTTTTACCTTCTAGAGGCTTTCGGCAAGGAGACCCGATTTCGCCTTATTTGTTTCTTCTCTGTGGAGAGGGTCTGTCTTGTATGCTTCAAAACTATGATGGCGGCTGGATAGACAGGGGTATCCGAGTGGGTGCTTCTGCACCATGGATTTCGCATCTCCTCTTTGCAGATGATTGTTTGATCTTCATGAAAGCTGACTCGAGGAGTGCAACCAGGTTAAGTGAAATCCTGGAACAATACAGTATGGGCTCGGGGCAAAGTGCAAACAAGATGAAGAGCTCAGTTTACTTTAGCCCAAACAGCGGGGCGTCCGTCAGAAGGGGTGTCAAAGCCGCCCTTCAGATACATAGGGAGGCCATGTCCGAGAAATACCTTGGGCTTCCGACTGCCACGGGAAGGATCTCGGAACAGAGCTTCGAACACATCAACGAGCGGTCTAGGTCGAAGGTGCAAGGGTGGTGTCAGCGGAAGATGTCGTGCGCTGCAAAAGAAGTTCTCCTGAAATCAGTGGTTCAAGCCTTACCGGCCTTCTCTATGAGTTGTTTCAAACTCACAAAAGGTCTGTGCAAGAAACTGACGACGAATATGTCAAAATATTGGTGGGCTGGGTCACTTGATAAGAAGGGAATGCATTGGCAGGCGTGGGATAAGATGAGTGTAGCAAAGTCACAAGGAGGCCTCGGATTCCGGGACTTCGAAACGTTCAACAACGCGATGTTGGCAAAGCAAGCATGGAGAATTCTTGACAATCCAAACAGCTTGTGCGCCCGAGTTCTCAAGGGAAGATACTTCCCAAATGAGGAGTTCCTAACTGCGGGTTGTCCGAAGAGTGCATCAAAAACTTGGAAGGCCATCATTGTTGGGAGGGAGATGCTAAAGAAGGGACTAATCCGACGAGTGGGAGATGGATCAACAACCGAAGTGTGGCATGACCATTGGATAGAGGGCTCCACCTCCATGACTCCAATGGGAGCACTCAAGCCGAACTCTATTCAGCTTGTGGCTGATTTGATTAACCCGGAGACAAATCAATGGGATGTAGAGACCATCAGGAGTCTGTTTTACCCCCCGGATGCAGATGCAATATTGGCCATGCCTAGACCGAGAGGAGGAGGCAGAGACATATGGGCATGGGCCTGGGAGAGATCTGGCATTTTCACAGTTCGATCAGCATACCGGCAAACGATGCAAGCAAAGCTTCAACTTTCGGCAACAGTAGGCTCATCTTCTAGAGCTGAAGAAACCTGGCGTGCATTATGGAAACTGAATGTGCTTCCAAAAATTCGAGTTTTTTGGTGGCGAGTTCTGAAAGGATTCCTACCAAATTACGGCGAGTTGAGATGGCGACATATCAAGGAGTCGCCGCACTGTCCCATGTGTGGACATGAAAGCGAAACTCTATATCATGCACTCATGGAGTGCGACCATGCGGTATGGTTCTGGGAGGCAGCGGAGCGATTTTTTGATATTCGTATCCCAAGACTACACCCGATAACATGGTCCAAGGATTTGCTTGATCATAAACTGTTTAAGCAAGAGGAGGCTGCTATTATGATTACGGTGATGTGGGCGGTGTGGCACTCAAGAAACAGATATACACATGGAGAACAAGTGTATCAGCCGTCGCAATCCATGATCATCATAGAAGAAATTGTGCGAGCGCTTGAGTTCCCTGTTAGTGAGAAGAACCAGCCGGGTTGTCCCCCACGATGGCAACCACCAGAGGAAGGCTGGGTTAAGATCAATACAGATGGAGCTACTGCCTCGGCACTGGCGCGAGGAGGAACGGGTTATATTGCCCGTGATCATCATGGTTTCTTCCGTAGAGCAGGAGGCTCAAGGTATGACGGCATAATTGATCCACTCACACTTAAACTCCTTGCATGTAGAGATGGGCTTTCCATGGCATGTGATATGGGGCTACATCGAGTTGAAGTCGAAACGGATTGCCAGGAGATTATAAGGCTGTGGGAGTCACCGCAGAAATCGTCATTTACCATCTCTTAAAAGAGATTGAAATGCTTAGTACTTTTTTCCAGGGGTTTAAGCTACGGTTTGCTAACCGGCGTTGTAATACGGTGGCTCACCGGATAGCTAGACATTCTTTAGAACTTTTTTTTTAGCATCATTCTTTAGAACTTTCTTCTTCTCAGCTTATGTATGAGACAATCCCTGGGTGGATGGCTGATTTTATACAGTCAGACATGCTAGCGCCAAATGAATAAAGAGCCAACTGGCTTTTTAGCTTAAAAAAAAACCGTAGCACAGTAAGCGATACATATACTCTTCAAAATCAAGAGTAATCGATATATGTCAGCGCCCTTGCGCCGCTCTCTCGCCATCGCTCACCGCTCCCGGCGAGTCGCAACTCCGCCATTCTCACCGGAAGACGGAAGTGCCTCCTCCTCGCACGCGGCCGTGCTTGCTCCGTTCCACGCGCACGCTGGCATCTATTCCTCTGACGCAATGCCGGCCTTTTGTGCCTAGCGCCGGCCGCCTCGGCAGAAGCGCGCCCAGGCCGTTCGGCGCAATGCCGACCCGGGTGTCTTTTCTTGGACCGCGACGGTTGCCGTCGAGAAGCCGGGTCAGCTCGTAGAAGAGGCTTTGGAAGCACTCTGATGCGTATGTATACCATGTGAGGCCCGTGGTTTCTAGGCTACCTGCCACGCTAATCCTTCGACATGGTACGTACTACTAGGTGCTTCTGATAGCCATTCCTCGTACTTATTCTGCTAGTGACTTCATTCTTTTGCGCGTGCTGAGTTATTTAAATTCGGAAGACAGTAGTCGTATTACGTTCTCAAATTCTCATTCCATTTGTTCGATGGTTGGACTAATCAAACGTTGATGTATAGTACGTAATTCGGTAATTCACCTTCAAGGCTCCAATCTTTGGTGATTTTCTCAAAACAGCTGATAGAAAGCAAGTAGATGACATCACACAACATCTGCACTTGAATGGAAACCATTTTCAATGCTGACAGCACATGGTATCTGTACTTAAGTTGAAACCATTTGGAATATTTCTCCGAGGAAAAAAACATTTCGCGTGTCTGACTTTGTCCCATGCTTATGCAACTTCACCATAGGTATAGTACTTTAAGAAACATAGGAAAATTAGATGAATTTTACAAAAAAATCTTTCCTTGAAGAAGTACGTAAACTCAAAAAGGCAACCTGTTAGTCTCTGTACAAAGTACAAACCAAACTCTAAGGTAGCACTTATAGTGAAACTACGAATGTTACATGTACATCATGCACAAAATACAAGACTATCTATCATGTGTAGTTCATTTTATCTTGGCTGATCTTTGCATCTATGGGTTAGCTTCTATACTGGACAGGGAGGAGACTACTCCTGCGATAGCTGGCCTTCTGAATTGATTGTTATCAACACACTTGCAAGCGGTTTCAAGCACTTTTAGCATTTGCTCTTCATAGCCTCTTCCACGAAGTGTTGGATCCAGGACTTCTGTCTGCTTACCCTCGGACCTCATCTGTAGAACCCATGGGACAAGTTCTTTTGATGTAGACAGGACTGTAACAGGTCTCCTTCCGGTGAGCAGCTCAAGCAAGACTACTCCAAAACTGTACATATCACCTCTCAAAGTAGCAACCCATGCTTGCCCATACTCGGGAGGGATATAACCCATAGTGCCGACCAACTCAGTTGTAACATGAGTTCTGTCGGGAAGGATCAATCTGGCTAGCCCAAAATCAGCAACATAAGCTTTAAATTCTTTGTCCAGTAGGATGTTACTGGATTTGATGTCACGGTGGACAATTTGAGGCTTGCAGACATCATGGATATAAGAAAGGCCCATGCTTGCTCCTTGTGCTATCTTGAGCCGTGTCGGCCAGTCAAGAAACGATATAGCATCATCATACCTGTTATGCAGCCAGTCGTCCAGGCTACCATTCTCCATATAGGAATATACAAGGAACCTCGAGTTTCCCTGGACACAATAACCCCACAGTGGTACAAGATTTTCATGTTGTGCCATGGAGAGTGCATCAACCTCGGCACTGAACTCCCTTTCCATCAGACACATTTCACCGTTGAGCTTTTTTATTGCCAGCTTGGAGCCATCAGGTAGCTCTGCCTTGTAGACTAATCCATAACCTCCGCATCCAATGATATTCTCCTTGTCAAAGTTGTTTGTGGCTTTCAAAATGTCAGCGAATTTGAGCTTGGTTCCTTCTGTCTTCCCTTGCGGCATCCGCATCACCACTAATGTTTGCTCTGAACTGGAGTAGAACGAAGTTGCTTCAATATCTCCATTATTCTCCCTTCTATTTCTTATTCTAATGCCATTTATCCTGATAAATACAATGAGCCGCCCCAGCAACAAAAGAGCAGCGATGCCTCCAAAGAACACACCAAATGCAATTACAAAAACAGACTTCTTATATCGTGGTTTTGTGGTCTCTTTTGTGGATGGTGGAGGTATCGAAGCTGAATCACATTTGTGGGTTAGCATAGAGACACACAGCTTTGGGTTCCCACTGAAACTAGAATTCTGAAATGTATCAAATTGGCCTCCAGATGGAATAGGCCCTTCTAGGTCATTGTTTGAAATATTGAATGCTGAAAGGAAGTGCAGGGTGTTCAATGCAGCTGGAATAGCACCTGTGAGATTGTTGCTGGACAAGTCTAGTACCTGCAAGTTTGCGAGGTTGCAGACCGATTGTGGGATCTGTCCAGATAACTTGTTGAAGCTGAAGTCAAGTACAGCAAGCACTTTCAGCTGACCAATCTGTGTGGGAATCACACCTGTGAAATTGTTATTGCTTAGATTCAACACTGCTGGGAAAGATGTAACCACACGGTATTGAAGTGCTGGACCATTATAAACAGGCAGCTCAAAGACCGTTGGGTCCAAATGAGTTGCGTTATCAGTTGATTTTAGCACTGGCATCTCGGTTAAGGTTAATGGGATTTCTCCTGTAAGACTGTTGCTTGACACATCCATATAGAAGAGATGACTTAGAGAGCTGATCCAGCCTGGTATTGACCCAGTGAGTCGATTGCCACATAAAAATAGCATCTGCAAGTTTACAGCCCTTGATATCCACACAGGTATTCTCCCAGAAAAATTGCAACCTTGTATATCGAGAACCTGAAGACTTCCAAAACCATCAATTGTTTCATCCTGTGAGAGTATCTCTCCCCTAAAGTTGTGCCCCATAAGCAGTGTTGTCAGGTTCTTGCTGCTCTTAAGGATCTGAAGTGCATTTGTAATGTTTGTGAAATTGTTTTTACCGAGTGACAAGAAGGAGAGGTACTTCAGATTACCTATTCTCGATGAGAGCTGTCCGTGTAAGTTGTTGCTAGATAGCCGCAGTGCAATCAGATTACTGCACGAGTATATGCTTTCTGGAACTTCACCGGTGAAGTTGTTTAACCAGAGGTCTAAAATTCTTAGATTGGGCAGGTTGGAGAAATTGACCTTGGTAAGTTTTCCACTGAAGTGATTGCTCTTGAGGTCAATTGTTATGAGATTTGTGCAGTTGCTCAGAGCAGATGGCAGTTCCCCTGACATGTTGTTGTAAGCCAAATGGAGCTCCTCCAATTTCTTGAGCTGTCCTATAGAAACTGGAATCTTGCCACCGAAGTTGTTCCATCCAAGATGAAGGACTACAAGATTTCTGAGGTTGGTTATGTGTGTACCATCAATAGCTCCACTGAGGTTGTTGTATCCAGCCCTGAGCTCTCTCAGCTTGGAGCAATTACCAAGACTTGGGGGGATGCTGCCACTGAATTTGTTGAAAGACAGTTCAAGCACAGTGAAGGACGGCGAACTGTTACAGAAATGAGTTGGTATCTGCCCAGTAAATCTGTTCTTACTGGCATTGAGTGCGATCAAATTTGCCATTGCTTTCCATGTGGTGGATGGAAACTGTCCTGTAAATGAGTTGCTGGAGATGTTCAGTACCTGTAGAGGCCGGGCAGGCGTTGAAGATGGCAGCTCCTGGAGCGTTCCATTGAGCTGGTTAAAGCTGACATCAAGGATAGTAATGCTGCTGGACGACATCAACTCCGGTGGCAGTCCACCGGACAGCGAGTTGTGGGAGAGATTAAGGTATTGCAGCCCGGTGAGGACCCCAAGAGACTGTGAGATGTGCCCCTGGAGGCCCTTCGAAGGCAGGAAGACAGCGGTGACCGTCCCATCTTGCCTGCAGGTGATCCCTTCCCACATGCAGCAATCCGTGCCATTCCGCCATGTCGCAGGGAGGCCACCGTCTTGTGAGAGCCCGGTGAGGAACTGTAGAAGGGAGCCCTTCTCCTGCTCCGTGCACGAACTGCCCGGAGAGACCAGGCAGATCAGCAGCACAAGTGCGAGGCAAAGGGAAGGTATGTGGAATATCTTGCTGTGTGTCTTGTCGGAAAAATGGAGTGTCTGCATGGTTTCGTGGTGAAACTAGCATGAGAACCAGAGCTTAAGTTGTGCACTGACTGGATAAAGCATCTTCATAGAGGGGGGAAGAAAGAAGCAGATCTTGCTCCCATTTGTTCTGTCCCTTGTGCTCATCACCAGCCCACCAGCTGCTTCCCAGTTCACACTTCACACTGATGTTTCAGTGTTCCGCTATTGGCTTCCTGCTATAATCTACTGACAAGTCAATTGCCCGATCTTCCTGAACACCTTCCGTACAAAAGAAAACTGCAGTGTAGATTTTGTGTTTATCCTTGACTCAATCCTTAATGAATTCTTACATTGCTCCGTACTTTGCTTTCCCTGACAACGGTTATCTTACCGGCTTCACTAAACAAATCTAACCTCTACCCACTAGCACTTATCTTACTTTACTTGCCCTGACACCCTTTGGATTTTGGTGAACAGGAAAAGGCATCTTTTCTTTTGAAAAAGAAACAGTTGGTGAAGATTTGCAGAATATTCAGCCGGTGAGATAGTACACGGGCGATCATTTCAGGAAGGCCACTGCAATCGAGAGCGATCATCGGCGTCTCAATCAGGGTGTGGACAAGGCCAAGTGGAGGACAAGAAGAAGTGCAATTTTGTTCCTTAATGGACGGGGTGGATGGTTGACCTGCTCGGTGATCACCCGTTCTCTCTTCCATCCTCTTGATTTACTTACCCTTATCACCTTATCACGCGAGCTTTATCTGATGTTTACGTTTGCTGTTGTTTTCCGTTCTCCACTGGCGCACTATTGTGCACCATGGAATGTGGTTGTCGTCTTAATTCGGAACTTGGTAGCGTGTGAGCTCTGGCACTGGCAGGCCGGCTGGTTGATCGCTTTTCTCTGATGCTTGTCAGCTTGTGGTTGTGGGAACGCCTGTGCTGTGTGGACATGGTCCTTTGGAACCTAACCATGCATTAGGTATAGTTTAAATACTTTATTAGTTGAATAATTAACGTTCAGAATCACATTTCTTTTGGGAACACTGTGCCATTATTATTTTGTAGTACAGTAGATGATAATGATGTGCTGATGTAGTGATGTTAGCTACTAGTACAATGTATCATTATTATTATTTTAGATGCTGCACTCTATCATTGAGCAGTGTACAGGTGGTCAATGATTTTTCCTATCTGATTGAGAAAAAAATATGGCAAGTGGCTGACACCCTACATATCAGTGACACCTCTGTTTTCCTGCTGTCAGGTGCAGGATCCCAGGATTTCCGCATGCTATTATCAGATACAGTGCGGACTGAAGAACATAATACAGGAAAGTGGCTGGCCCATGCTTTTTTTATTAATTATTATTTTTGCGATGAAACACACGTTGTATTTGGCGTGGCCGCCTGGGGATCGAGCGTGTATTTCCCACATGTTCATGAATTTTGGCGCGTACATGCAACTTGTTTTTGTGCATAGCGCCAGTTGGAAGTTCCACACTTGGCCACTTGGAGTACAAAAATGGCGGCGTGACCACTGGCCTGACTACGCGACGATGGTTCTCTGGACGCGCTTGTACGTTTGCTCCCAACGCGTCGTTGATCCAATCGTCTTGTTTGTTGTCCTAGGTGTTATCTTCTCCTTTCTCCAGTGTTTGTTGCCCATGAAGAATAAATAGTTTTTCTTTAACACCCAGCCTACTATAGTCCAAGAACCCAAAGAAGCTCCACACCAGCGTCGGCCGGCAGCCGGTGCGCCGGCGAGCACCGAGCACGGCAGAAACAACGAGCTCCGGCACCCAGGAGGCCAGCCAGCGTAGAATAGGCACGTCCGGCACGTGCTCTGGCCAGTCCCGGCAGCTACCCACGAGCCACGAGAGTCGGTGCAAACTCACGGCGGCTCGAATCGGGTGATGTACGACGAGCGCATGTTCGCCGTTTGCCAGTTGCACGCGACGGCGATGCCGCCCTCGCTGGAACTTACACATACCTACGTGCTTGTGCCTCCGTTACTCCGTATCGCCGTTTTACCGTGAGGCCCTGATCGATGTCTGTCGTGTACATGTTTAGTACCACATCGCCAACTTTGGGTAGCACCTCACAGCATAAAAGGTGACGCTCGGGAGTCTGTTCCACCGTGCGGCAAGCACGGTATAAAGCAACAGCTTATTGAGCTATAATCCTCTTTCTTGGTATAAACCTCGACAAGGTAACTACTATCTCTATGATTCAAAACACCGGCCCACTTGATCTATTACGGAAACTAACCCATGGAAGCCCGTCGTCCTTGCAGGGGCGGCCTTTTCTCTCTAATGACAGTACAAAGAATCCGGCACCGCATTGTGGTCGGCATGTGTCCGTCCGGCGGTGTGGATGTTTTTGCGTGGCTTTCTTGTGTACCAACGATGGCAACTTCAAGCGGAATCGGGTTTGTAATTGTGTTTTGGTAGTCGGTCTTATCCAGCATGTTCGAGGGGTCGCCGTGACTCGCTTGTGTTTATGAAGTCGGAGTTGCTGTGGAGGAGCCCTCTGATGACGATGACACGAGACAGTTGTTGGTTCTGACGTTGGCTCCATAGTTTGAAAAACCGAACCGGCGATTGAACCGATGGATGGGGTGGATGGTTGACCTGCTGGGTGATCACCTGTTCCCTCTTCCATCCTCTTGATTTACTTACCCTTATCACGCCAGATTTGTTTTCCGTTCTCCACTGGCGCACTATTGTGCACCATGGGAGTTATTTACCCAAAACCACTGCACTTGGGGCTAGGGGAACCGGTCAGTACCACATTTGAGCCAAGTCACAAAAAACTACCAACTCTGAGCCTAATTGGTAACGCGGAGCACTGATGGGCCGATTTGGCCGCGAAAACAGCGAAACCGACAGGTGGGACCCACATGTCGGGCCGACGTGGCGCGGGCTGACGGACGCCGTGAGACGGAGGGGGACGGCCGTTTCCACGCCCGTGTACTAGTGGGCCGCATCGGTCGCTGGTCCGACCAGACCGCAGCAAAGCGCATCCGACTCCTCTGTCTCGACCACGACCGCCGCCGTTGCCGCCACCGTCGTCTCGCCGCCGTCCGCCGGTCCGCCATGGTTTCCTGGAGCGATGGGTCAAGCTGTTCTTCTTCGGACGACGAGTCAGTGACTAGCCAGGTACATTCATTTGGGGATTCCACCATTTAGGGTTAGGGTTCTTGAGCATTTAGGGTTCTTGAGTTGGGGGTTTCTGACCAAGTTGCTGATTTGTTCAATCTCTTTTGTTTTTAGCTTCCTAGGACTATCCCATGCTATGAATGGAGTGGCGTTGCTCATGAGCTCTCCTCTCGTTGTCTGCATCGCGAGCCTTGCCTCAGGCTAGTAGCATTTGACTCTACGGACACTGGCCGACGTTTTCTTGCTTGTGCTCAGGAGAAGGTATGTTTGTTATTACTGTATTTAGTTAGTCTTAGTTAGTTCTTGCTCCATTCAAATGCCAGAAGCAAATTTTCCTCTGCTTATTAGTGTGAAGAATTGTCACTGCCCACAGTTGATATAATTATGCTCTGACACTAGTAAATTATGCTATGCCAGTGTAATTTTCCCCAATTAATTAAGTAGTGTACAACATTATTCGGTGGAAATAATTTGGTGGAAATACAATTGTTGTTATAATGACAGCATATATTCTTACTGACAACACATATTACTGAGAACATTTGTGCATTTATGTGCTATTAAAAATGACAAAAATTTCTTACTGAGAACATCTCTTCTGAATCATAGGCTGAACTAAAGTGCAACTATTTGGAGTGGATAGACCCTGAGTGGTCAGTGGCTTTGCAGTTTTGCCTAAATGAATTGTGGAGCATGTATGAGAAAGAAATGAAGGACATGCTGAAAGACAATGTTCAGCTTGCTGAATACAATTACAAAGTAGTTGGAGAAAAGAGGAAGATGGAAGAAGAGCTGAGATTTTTCAAACTTGATTTTGCAAAAATGGTTGCTGACAAGGAGGCTGCTATTACTGAGCTGGGTAATACTAGGTTGGCTCTCAATGATTTGAAAGAGGAGATGGAGAAGAAGAAGCTGGCAGACCATGGTTGCACAAACCTACATCAGTTACTCAGGGCAAAGGCAGAGAAGGAGAGGGACAAGCTTGTGGTAGAGAGAGAACAAGTGCTCACAGAGAGAGACCAACTAAAGGAAGAGAAGAAAAGCTAGAGTACATCATCTCTGATTTGCTGAAACAGAAGCATGGCTACAAGGACAAGATCAAGAAGTTGAAGGAGATCTGTGATGATTTCTAATTATGTAATGTGGTATTGTACTGGTGTAGGTGTGCTCTGTTGCACTGAATAATCAGACCTAACTAGAAGTGCACTGTCATGTTGTAATGGTTAAATTTGTATTGAATTATGCAGTTTATATGTTGCAAGTCTAGAATTTGAAATTATGGCATGAATCTGAACTGCTATCTCTTGACAGTCATCATCTGTTGGGGAATGTAGTAATTTCAAAAAAATTCCTACGCACACGCAAGATCATGGTGATGCATAGCAACGAGAGGGGAGAGTGTGTCCACGTACCCTCGTAGACCGAAAGCGAAAGCGATATGACAACGCGGTTGATGTAGTCGTACGTCTTCTCGATCCGACCGATCCAAGCACCGAACGTACGGCACCTCCGAATTCAGCACACGTTCAGCTCGATGACGATCCCCGGACTACGATCCAGCAGGGTGTCGGGGATGAGTTCCGTCAGCACGACAGCGTGGTGACGATGATGATGTTCTACCGACGTAAGGCTTCGCCTAAGCACCACAACGATATGACCGAGGTGGAATATGGTGGAGGGGGCACCGCACACGGCTAAGGAACAATCACGAAGATCAACTTGTGTGTATAGAGGTGCCCCCCTCCTTCGTATATAAAGGGGGGGAGGAGGAGGGGGCCGGCCAAGGGGGTGGCGTGCCCTAGGAGGGGGAAACCTACTCCAAGTAGGTTTGCCCCTCCCTTTCCTAGTCCAAGAAGGAGGGGGAAGGAAGGAGTGGGAAAGG